GGACGCGCTCCTCAGGCCGAAGCCTGCGGGCGCCCTGCGCCCCGCGCCCGCCGTCGCTGGACGCGCTCCTCAGGCCGAAGCCCGCGGGCGCCCTGCGCCCCGCGCCCGCCGTCGCTGGACGCGCTCCTCAGGCCGAAGCCCGCGGGCGCCCTGCGCCCCGCGCCCGCCGTCGCTGGACGCGCTCCTCAGGCCGAAGCCCGCGGGCGCCCTGCGCCCCGCGCCCGCCGTCGCTGGACGCGCTCCTCAGGTCGAAGCCCGCGGGCGCCCCCGGCGGCGTCAGGAGGAGCGCGAGGGGCTCGGGTCCGAGAGCACGGTGCCGCGGCGAGGGCGAGGCTGTGGCGGCGAGGGCGAGGCTGGGCGAGCTCGCAGCGAGGCTGGGCGGAGGCGGACAGTTTGGGGTTTCTCGCGCGTTGGGTGCAAATACCCCATACGTCCGTCTGCCCCCCCGGACGTCCGCCAAATCACACCCCAAACGGACAAAAGCGGACGTCCGGATGGGTCACGCGGTGGAGTTGGCCTAATACCCAAACGGACAAAGCTGTCCGCTGGTGTCCGTTTCAGTCCGGCCCAACCCCAAATCCAGACCAAAGTTGGGTCACAAATGGGTCTGAACGGACACAGACGAACGCGCTCCTCGGCCTCTCTCGTCCGCTCGTGTCCGCCACTGGCCCACAGGTCAGCGACCCACACCGAGCCACTCCCGCCCGGCCGCCGCGTCCGCCGTCGCACGCCCCGCGGCCGTCGTCGCCCCGCGCCCGCCGTCGCTGGACGCGCTCCTCAGGCCGAAGCCCGCGGGCGCCCTGCGCCCCGCGCCCGCCGTCGCTGGACGTGCTCCTCATGCCGAAGCCCGCGGATCATTATTTCCTTAACGTGATCATTATTTCTTGATGCCTTTGGATTTACTCAGTAACCAACTAGCATTTTCAAATTCCCTTAACGTGATCATTATTTCTTGATGCCTTTGGATTTACTCAGTAACCAACTAGCATTTTATCTTTAATTAATACAGAGAGCAGTAAGAATCTAAGGAAGCCTAAGCCTTGGAAGCACACTCAGCCAATAACACCAGCGCAACTCAAACAGATGCGTGATGAATTCTGGGACACAGCTCCACACTATGGTGGACAGAAAGGTATTTAACCATTTATATATCGTTGGCTGGAAGTTAATACCCTGTTTTAACTTCAGGAGGGTGGTTGGATTTGCAACGTTGCTCGTGGTCTCTATATGTTATGGTAACATTTCTATGTGGTTTTACTTTGATACTTCTGTCGCTATTCAGGTTGGCTACAAATATATCTTTGTTCTCAGTATATATACTTAAATTTCACTATTCAAATTATCGCGCCTTACATATTAAATTTTATTTGTCCAACTAAAATTCTTTAGGACAGAAAAGTTCAGGACCTGTTAACCAGATATAGTAAGAATTTTATTCTTAAAAGTTGATAATGACCCCTTGGCTCATCAGTACTAGTTAGCAGTACATGATTTTCAAGCCATATCAATTTTTTTCTGCTATCCTTCAGAGAGAAAAGTTCAGGACCTTTAACAAGATATAACAAGAATTTCATTCTTAAGTGTTGATAATGACCCCTGGGCTTATCGGTACAGGTTAGCAGTGAATTTCATTCTTAAGTGTTGATAATAACCCCTGGGCTTATCGGTACAGGTTAGCAGTACTTCATATTCAAGCCATATGAAATGAAAGAAAATTACTAAATAAAATGAAAGCACAATCCTAGAGCCACAATGAGTCGGATTTCATTTGTGTTCAGTCAATCTATTCGCCGATCTGGATAACTTCTGCTCAGTTTGTTTTTAGAATAAGCAGCTAAGAACATGCAAAAGTTGTCTGAGCCGATGATAGTAGAGGTTAATGGTTTATATAACGGTCAGATGCTTTGAATATTATTGTTTTTTTTTTGAGGAATCAGATGCTTTGAATTTTGAACACCATTATTCCAACAATGACGAGACGGTTTTGCAAGTATGGCCTTGGTGACGAGTTGCCCGCTGTTTGTGCAGAGATTTGGGACGCACTCAGGGCCGCTACAGACGCCGACTTAACTCTTGCGCAGACCATAGTGGACAGTGCTGGAATCATCGTTTCGAATCCAGACCTCACGCTTTGTTACGATGAGAGAGGTGAGTCTGAGTTGCTGTTTTCTCTTTCACAAGTTTCGCTATTTTGTTCAGCTGTCTTTTCTCTCGAAACTAATTTCTGTGGGGACTGTATGGATGCAGGTGCAAAGTACGAGCTGCCCAATTACGTTCTGAGTGAGCCAACAAAC